GAGTTTTCACAAGGGAGAAAGCCTACTTTTTTTTTAAAGTTGGAAACGACTAATGGGGATTAGTACACCTTCTTGCAGAGGTGTATAAATAGAAAGAGAATTACTGGGGAAATTAACCTGTGGTCTGGAAGATAATTTATTCCCTAATTCCAGGAGGGTTTCAAGCTTTAATTAGAGGACAAACTTAATTTTTTTGATATTTTTATTAAATTTTGTCACATGGGGTCGCTATGAGATGGAATCGACTCGACGACACCTAACAACAGCAGTTATTTCACTATCCAACCATGTCCTTTTTTAACTCTGGATTAGTTGTAGATTTGTCTGTGTGCATGTATGTTTTTGGAATCATAAAGCTACACACACACACACACACACACACACACACACAGACAGACACACACACACATATTTACGCACTTGGCAGCTAAAGTCTCTGGTCATGAATTTTTCTATTAGTGGACACAGGTTAATAATTTGCTGGTTTATCAGTTATGAATACATTGGGTGGCAGCAGAAAACTTGACGAAATGTGACTTAAACACACTGGGATTTATTTTTCTCATGTAAAAATAAGTTCAAAGGCTAGTACCATGACTTAAGGATAATCTTTCAAGACTCCGGTTGCTCCAGTCTTGCTGCTCTGCCGCGTGGCTTTCTTCCTCTGGGTCACGAGATGCCTGCTGTACCTCAGGCCTCATGTACTCATTCCAGGCAGAAGGAAGAAAGAGATGCCTTTGTCAGGAAAGCAAAAGCTTTTCCAGAAATCCATTCCAGAGTTACAGTGTGCAAAGGAAGTCAGTTTGTAAGCTGAGCACATTGCCATTCTAAACACAATCACGGTTCAGTTAGAAAGTGAAAGATATAAACATTGAGTCAGCACCTTGCAATGTCTGTCATTGCTCATGTTAACTCTTTGTTTCATTCAGATTTAATGGATGATTATTTTCCTCATTATAAGAACTGCCCCCCCCCGCCAAAAAATAAAATAAAACCGCTGTGGTCGAGTCGATTCCAACTCTTAGCGACACTATAGGACAGAGTAGAACTGCCCCATAGGGTTTCCAAGGCTGAAATCTTTACGGAAGCAGACCGCCACATCTTTCTCCTGTCAGCTGGTGGATTCAAACTGCCAGCCTTTTGGTCAGCAGCCTCATGTTTAACCACTGCGCCACCAGGGCTCCTCTGCTATAAGAATAGTAGCCAACTATTGGAATATTAAATCACTTGTGCTCTTCCCTCCTTTGAAAAGCATCACTGCTAACATCTGCAAAGCTCTGTGTCTGCAGCCTTGAATTGGAATCTACTACTCTGTATCTAACTGCTGGCAGGATGGTTCCACTTATAAGCTTGTTGATTCATTCAAATACAGATATGTCCAAAGCTAACTAAGTAGCTTTATCTTTAATTTCCTTGTTTTGATCAGAGCTCTCAGTATCTTCTCAACCTTAGAATAACCCTAACTTTTTCCATTTCCTTTATTTCTCAATCCAGTTTACCATCAACTATATAGTTCCTGCATTGAAATGTCCTGGATTTGACCCCCCCTTACTGTTATTACAGTAATCCACACTCTCACTACCTCATTTGTGCACTATTTGTAAGGTTTTCTAGCTGGCATCTCCATTTCCATTCTTCTTTAATTCATTCTGCAGGTCATTAGTAGTCTCATCTTCTTGGGACCTGTCATGGATTGAATTGTGTCCCCCCCAAAATATCTATCAACTTGGCTGGGTCATGATTCCCAGTATTGTATGATTGTGTGATTCCCAGTATTGTATGATTTTTGTAATCTGATGTGATTTCCTTATGTGTTGTAAACTCTGTCACTATAATTTAATAAGATGGAGTAGCAGCGGTTATACTGATAAGGTCTACAAGATTAGATAGTGTCTTAAGCCAGTATCTTTTGAGATATAAAAGAGAGAAGTGAGCAGAGACACATAGGGACCTCACACCACCAAGAAAGCAGTGCTGGGAGCAGAGCAAGTCCTTGGGACCTGAGGTTCTTGCGCTGAGATACGCTCCCAGACCAAGGGAAGACTGATGACAAGGACCTTCCTCCAGAGCTGACAAAGAAAGCCTTCTCCTGGAGCTGATGCCCTGAATTTGGACTTGTAGCCTACTAGACTATGAGAGAATAAGTTTCTCTTTGTTAAAGCCATCCACTTGTGGTATTTCTGGTATAGCAGCACTAGATGACTAAGACAGGACCTCATTTTCTAAATATTTTTTCCCTACTTGAGAGTTTTTAGTGAGTTTCTAGGCCAAATCCCTTTTTTTCCCTGTTTCAAAGCTTTCTTTCAGTACAGATAATTTTCTTATTCTGTTTTTATTTCCCTTTATTTCTCGCCTAGTCAAAATGTTCTCCTCAATGACCTGTTGCCTGCCTATCACCACCACCAGTACATACACTGTGTGAATTCCTGTCCTGCAGACGTTTATCCTGCTCTTCTCTAGTTGCATCAAAACCTGTTTTGACCTCATTCTTCCAAATCTTATCTTTCAAGGCCTAGCTCTTAGAACTTTGTTGACAACTCTTGCCTGTGTGTTTTATATCTATTCTAAACTATATTTTGAAGGAATGCAGTGTAATGGAATTTATTTTGGAGTTAGATAGGTGTGGGTTTATATTTTGATTTGGCCACTTACTAGCCTTTTTACCTTAAACAAGTTAACTTTTCTAAGCTAAAGTTTCCTTATTTATAAAACTTAAATAATTACATGCAGATGTATACTGTTGTGAGAGTAGAACAAGGTAATGTTATGTTAAGCATGGTAGCACTTAGTATAGGTTTGGTTGTATGAAAACAAAACCCAACAATAATAATGTCTTAAACAAAACTGTAGTTTATTCTTCTCTTATATAGAAGAAATCTAGAGGTATGTAGTCCAGGACTAGTAGTACTTCATGTTCATCAGGGACTTAGACTTTCTCTGTCCTTCTGTTCTCCCATTCTAATGCTTAACTTCTACTTTAAGATGACCACATGGTCTGAGGTGGCTGCAGGAGCTCCAGCTATCATAGTTGCATTCCATACAACAAAAGGAAGAACAGAGTAAGGAAAAAAGGGCCTGTTTTTCAGTTTCATCAACTTCCTTTAACTAGACTTCCTGGAAGTCCCTAATAGCTTTTCTGCTTACAATCTTATTGGCCAGAACTTAGTCACATGGCTACACCTTGCTAAAGGGAGGCTGGAAATTGTAATCTCTTAGTTGGGTATGTTGCTGCAAGAAATAAAATCAGTGTTCTGTTACTAAGAAAGAAGAGGATAATGAATACTGGCTGGCTATCAGCAGACTTGGCCATAGTTACCTATCGTGGTACCTGGCATGTGGTGGAACTTAACAAATAAACTCTGTAGGCCTCTGTTCTTTCTGTTGTATTTAGAGTCAGTTTAGCTGTTAATTCTTCTTTGCTTCATTATGTATCTTCTTCTTTTTCCAGCTCCATGGTTAAGGACCATGTATCATACTTCTTTGTTGCGCTTCAAAACACTTAGCAGAGTGCTTAGGACCTTTGTATGTATTTGTTAATTAATAATTTTAGAGTCACACTTCTATCAGCCTCTTATTGGATTTTTCCCCCTGTATGGGTATTTAATACTTCTCCTTCAGGCACTAACTAGCAGCTATTGTGAAAGGATTGATTGAGAATTTTTGTTCCTTTGGTAATTTCCTGTATTTTAATGTATTAGAAGTTACCTTGTAGAGTTGATATCTAAACATTTTATCTTTCTTTGTTTAATGCATTTTTTTAAATAAAGTTTTTCTACATCTAGTGCTTCAGGATAAATTCCCCAAATTGAACCGAAAGAGTAATGCATGTATGTACATTACATACATCTATTACACGTAGCTCTCTAAGGTACATGTTAACTAAGAATATATAGACTATGATTTTTCAAAATGCTGTGTTTGGAAAGGCCTCAGGAAATTAATGATTTCTCTGTGCATATTTAACTCACGAATTTGTTTTCAGGAAGCTTAATAGTTTGAAAAAGCTTAGGGCACGTTTCTTCGCCAAATTGTTCTTGAGCTCCTGGTTATTTTTCTTTTTCTTCCCGATGGTGGATGAGAGAGGAGTAGCAGATGGGACACAGGGAACTCTGTCTTTCCAAGAAGATAAAGAAATAATAGTAGCACTGGAAATGTCTTTCCCTGCTGATTGGGCCAGACTTTATGTAAAAATAGGGTCATCTAGTTTCAAAGTATCTTGAGATATAAGCGTTTATATGGGCTCTTTTCATTCTACTTTGGAACTTACCGAATGGAGTATTTTAAACATTCTCTATGTTCTTTTCACATTTATTCCTTCATAGGTATACGTTACATCATTAGTATATGAATATACACATATAAGTGTAATACCATTTTTTTCATACCCCCACCAGCAACTGGGAAATATTTTCATGTACTCAAACATGCATATGTCTTACACAAGCACATATTCAAATGCTGAGAAATAAAGCAGAGTATGGTGCTGCAAATTCTTGTTGGAACAAAGTGAGATATAAATAAATAAAATAAGAAAGTTCTGTACCATCCAGTTATACACACTCAAAAAGCATACATAAGTAAATGTACATGAATGGTGATTTGATTTGATGTTTAGATAGAATAGTAAGTTGGTGGGAAAGAGGACACGCATCAGCAAAGTGAACATAGTGATTTCTCTGTGCATATTTGACTCACTAATTTGTTTGTCAAGAAGCTCAACAGTTTGAAAAAAGCTTAGGGCACATTTCTCTGACAAGTTGTTTTTGAGCTCCTGGTTGTTTTTCCTTTTCTCCTCTGCTATGGAAGAGAAGAGAGGAATAACTGACTGGACATATAAACAGCAGTGTTAACATGAAAGAATAATTCTAACAGTAACTAAAAATCATAATAACCTTTATGATTTTTTAATGATTTTTTAAACTGGTATACAAATGACATATAGCCATTCATAAAAAATTGGTATTTCTTTATAGTTTGACTCTTTGGTTTTGTTCTCATAGATGTTTTCTCCCAGATGTCAGATTCCAATGGCTTAATGATATTTAGCAAGTTTGACCAGTTTCTGAAAGAAGTTCTGAAGCTCCCAACAGCTGTCTTTGAAGGGCCATCTTTTGGTTATACAGAGCACTCAGTCCGCACCTGTTTTCCACAGCAGGTAAGGACAGTTTTATAGAATGTAGGACTAGAAGAGCGCTCATTCGTCTCTCTGTCTTTTACTAGATTTCTCCACGTTGCTTGCAGCCAAGGAATATAGGTCTTGAGCAGGGGAGGAGAAAAAGCTTTAAAATGGGGGGATTGAACAAAACAGGGGAAGGGGAAATAAAAAATTCACTTAAAAATTCTTTTTTGGGGGGAGGTCTTTACTGAAAATAATGATAACATTTGAAATATTTTAAATTACTGAAATTTTAAAGAAAAATGCTTAAGATGTAGTGTTTATATTATTGCTACTAAGCATATGTTACATTCGCAAGTGAGTTTTTAAAACTGTGAAATACAGGGATTTTGAGATTAAACTTCATCATTACTTCCTGAGCACTGAAGATAAAGAATACTGTACAGCTCTCAACTGCCAGCAAAACATCCCTCAATGGTACACTACCATTTTCATATGAAAGAAAATGGGTTTGATTTACTATTTATTTGTGAGTTTCTTTTCGTGGTCTTGACCTAGAGGTTGATATGAGTATATTCCTGTGATCTTAACTATGCCTCAAAGAGTTGGGAGCAGAGCAGACTCTGGCTGTGGCATCCGTATGTTCAGGTAGAGGTTAGATGAAAGGAGCTTACTGCTAAATATAGAAAGTTCTGGAAAGCAAGGAATTAAAAAAATTTGTGGCAAAACCAGTGGGTAAAAGATGAATAAGAAGCAGCATATTGATGTAGTCTGAAAGTATCTCCGTATAAGATACTTATTAATTACAAAGGCGACATAGTAACTTTACAGTGGAGAAACCTGTTGGATACCACCTGAGCCAAACGGTCAAAGTCCATATCACCAGTAATGGGATATACTGATTTCATGGGCCTCCTGGTAAGATGAACTGGAAGTACACAGTATCACTTCTCTGGTGTTCCTCCTGCGAAAAATGCATAACCTGAAGCAAATCTTGAGGAAACATCAAACACAAACCCAAATGAAGAAGTTTCTACAACATAACAGATCTGTGTGCTTCAAAAAGGTCTCTGGATGGCACAAACGGTTTACGCTTCAACCGCTAACCTAAAAGTTGGTAGTTCAAACCCATCCAGACGTGCCTTGGAAGAAAGGCCTGGTGATCTGCATCAATAAAGATTACAGCTAAGATCCTTTGCTATGAGACCAGAAGAACTGGATGGTGCCTGGCTAACAAAGATTCTGTAGAAGAATCCTGGTCAAAACAAAAGTGGGAAAATGCAGAACAGAATTTCAAATTCTCATGGACTCTAGATTTTCTGGAGCCATGGAGGGTGGATGAACCCCTGAAACTGTTGCCTTGAGATAATCTTAACCTTAAACTAAAAATATCCCCTGAAATCATCTTAAAATCAAACGATACTATAGCTTAACTAGTAAAAACCTGCCTTGAGTATTATGCTCTTTTAAGAACTATCTATGTGGGATCAAATTGACAACAGCAACTGGAAAGATAAGACAGGAACCTTAGTGGGCAGTGAGTTTATGTTAATGAGGGAGAAACAACTCAGAAAAGGAGGGTGAGAACGGTTGCACAACTCAAAGAATGTAGTCAATGTCACTAAATTGTACATGTAGAAACTTGAATTGGTGTATGTTTTGCTGTGTATATTCTCAACAACAACAAAATAAATAGAATTTAGGGGGAAAAAAAAAGACTGCAGCCAAGAAAACTCATGGAGCATACAGTTCTGCTCTGTAACACATGGGGTCACCATGAGTCGGAATCGACTCCATGGCAACAAGTTTTATGTTTTTTGTTGTTTTTTTTTAATGGTTCAAAAACGTAAGTTTCGTGAAAGAAAGCATTCTAGATTAAAGGAGTCTTAATAGACATGAAAACTGACTGCAACTCATGACCCAGGATTTTCTTTTATTACACAGCTTATTATTGGGACATTTGCAAAAGTCTAAATAAGTTCTGTACATAATAGCATTCTGTTAATGAATGTTAATTTTGTTTTTTATATTTGTAAAGTAATTATGTAAGAGAATGTCATGATTTCTAGGAAATTCATTTAAGTCTTTAAGTGTAGAGGAACATCTCTTCCCCGGTGTGAATGTTTGGAGAATGTGGGTTAAGGATAAATGGGAATTATTTTTGTAACCTTGCAATGTTCTTATACATCTGAAATTATGTAAAAATTAAAAGTTAAAATGAAAAAGGAACAAATCTGAAGGTTTGAGAGCTGAAAGGATAGTGTAATCTCAGTCCTCCTGACCTTGGATACTTTGATTCACAAGAGAACCAAAAAGGTAAAAGACCTCTTTTTACATTTACAGTTAAGAATTTATATTTATCTGAATTCAGACTTTCAATCAATATTTTACTGTTTGTTTTTGAGGTCACTCAGTTTTAGCATTGAAAGTGGCACCTATAATACCGGGGAGTTGTTTTTAGTAACTTCTGAGACGATGTTCTTCCTAAATTTGTACATGCTTTGGCTGATTGTTTTTGTGCAAATTAGCCTCTATACACTATTAATTTTTATCTCAGTGTAATTGGCAATTTCAGCTTTTAGCATATTAAAAATATTTCTGTGCTTTAATTTATTCTAAGAAAAGCATAGTTTGTTATTTTCCCCCCCAAATTTGCATTCCAAATGATATGAGGTTGTCTAAACATATCCTGGTACAAGAATGTCCTGCAAGTACTGAAATGCCCTTCAAGGATTTAAGTGAGGATGAGTGTGATGAGGAAACTGTGAATGACTCTTCTGTGTTTTTCATTCAGAAGTCATCTCTGCTGCTGCTGCGTTAGTGGTGTCATCGTTTCAAACGGTTGCCCACACAGTGCTCTGGGGTAGTCTTGTACGTGATGCTATACGTGGCTTTTCACACAAGATGTTACCTGGAAGTCTGGCTAAAATTTGTTCAAGGTTTGGAATGCTTCTGCTAAGTAAAATAGTGTCAGAATGGGAAATAGATTATATATAAATAAATTTCAGTAAAGAACATCTCATAATACTTAGAAAAGGATCACAGTCATGTGGAATACTAAACCCAAAGTAATATTTGATTTAATTATTATGTGAGTACTTTAATAAGAACCTAATATTGGAATAATAGTTTAAAAGTTGAAGAATACAAAAAAATTTCTAATTGTTATTTCTAAGGATGCTATCCAGAATTTTGTGAGAGCGCTGGTGGCCCAGTGGTTAAGAGCTTGGCCGCTGACCAAAGGCTTGGCAGTTTGAATCCACCAGCCACTCCTTGGAAACCCTATGGGTCAATTCTACTCTGTCCCGTAGGGTCTCTGTGAGTCGGAATTGACGCGACAGCAGTGGGTTTTTTTGTTTGTTTGTTTGTTTATCTAGGATTCTGCAGATTATCTTATGACATAACTGTGAGCCTTTGAACTCACAACCTGACTGTTGCTTTTCACCTGCTTCAGAGTCCTGTAAAATCAGTCTGTGCTAGATTTGGGAAAGTCAGAGAAGCTTATCTCAGTCTAGATGAAACTTGAGTTTTCTTAAGTCCATGAGGAAGATAAAGAAACCTCGGAAGAAATAGAAAGTACTGATAGGGAGACCAAAAAGTGAGACTGTTTGGACATAGTTTCAAAATGCAGCAAGCATTATATTTAACGAGTTTGGGTTTCTTTTTGAAAATGGGCTTTTCCCGTATAGTTTGTTTTCCCACAGTATGCATTTCTCTAATGTGAATGAGCTCACATACCATCAGGTAGAGGGGAATGATGTGGACGTTACATGGAAACTGGGTTGGTTCATATGCAGTTTTCCCCAGCATATAGATCTCTTGGGCTGAACAAAGAAGTGATCACAGTTAAAGAGAAAGTGTGGCTGAAAACCCTGCAGAAGTACCTTCCTTTAGTGAAAGAAGTCGCTGATTTAGAGGATTCATGAACTGCTTCACTTTCTCCAATGTTATGATGATAAAACTGTGAATATGGATGAAAAAGCTGTGAAGACATTTCCCCCCGTGTTTAAAAAAAAAGATCAAGTAAGCTATCCAGGGGATCTCATTTTCAGTTTTGATGAAGCCAATCATGAAGAAGGAAAAAGTGTGCCAAGATGTAAGGCTGAAAGGTATCATCTGACAGTGACTCTTGGTGGAAATAAATGCCTGTGAAGATTTAATGGTGCTGGGATTGTTACTAGTATTGTTATTGTTTTGGTAGTTCTCTGTTTACAAAGGTACAAATGTTTTTAGTGGCTTGTTCTTGCCCTGTTTTTCTCATATGTCTTATTATTGTTAATTCTGCAGTTTTGCACATTGTACAGTTTTCCAAGAATGCATATGTTGCATTATAGCAAAAATGCTTCTGTAATGATATGCAGAGGATTGCATATTTGTTTATTTTAATGTAGTTTTAATTCTCTCCTAAAAAACAATTTTTGCCTGCTTTTCATAAACTAGCCCAAAATAAGAGGTACAGATTTTTGTGATTCAGTGGTTTTAGGAACAAAAGAAAAATTGAAAGCATTTATAAATTAATTCAACAGAATACGTCTACCAGAATAGCTAAAATTCAGTGACTCACAATACCAGATGTTGATGAAGATGTGGAACAGCCACAACTCACAGGAATTACCAGAGGGAGTATAAAATGGTACAACCCTGTGGAGGAAAACCTGGTGGTTTCTTATAAACCAAAACAGACCCATGACCTAGCTATTCCACTCCTAGGTATTTCCCTAAGAGAAATGAAAACTATGTTCACAAAATGACTTGTCCAAGAATACTTATAACAGCCTTATTCATAATAGCCCCCAGCTGGAAGCAGCTAGGTGTCTATCATAATAAAATGTTGGAGTAAAATTTATTTCAAGAGATGAGAGGTCTGGAATTTGCTTCAAAATAATCGATTTTGGAAGGCGCGAAGGCATAGAGGAAACAAAATTAGCCATATGTTGAGAATTATTGAAGCTGAATGATGGGCGTACTATTCTCTCAACTTTGGTATACTTTTTAAAATTATAGGAATAGAAAAAATTAATCCTAGTAGTACATTTGTA